ATGCGACGCAAAAAACCACAAAATGGACGTCAGTCCAGCCTCCCGCGACCCAGATGGGCTGTCGCAGGACAAACGAGCTGATGTGCGTGCAACAATAATGGCTGATACAAAGGCTGCGGATAGCGCAGCAGCAACCAGTGCTCCCGGCCTCCTACTTCTAGGAGCGCTCGCATCGCGGAGCCGCGACACCACTACCCAATCGGTAGCTCAGATAGTGCTCTAGCGGCTGAGATATTCCCCTCGAAACTGGATCCCGCGATCGTATTTCGCATGGATTCATGGCGCAAAGCTTGGATCCTGGCGCGAAACTGCCATGAATTTAAGCGAATGTGATCGCGGGGTCCAGTTTCGAGGGAAATACCTCAGCCTTAGAGCAATACCTACGCTGCCGCTTGGGCAGTGCCTTAGTTAGGGCTCCAAAAGTATTTTCCACGTAAAATCCCCATAGGTCCAGATCTGCCTGGGCGCTGCCTTTAAGTCGTTGCTTCCCTCACTTGCATTACGAGACCAGCGGTGTTGGTAGTGAGGCTTTCATCTGTTGTATTTATTAATCACTTAGTAATTGTTCCTAAGCTTGTTTCTGATAAACATGCACCTCAGCTTACTTACTATTAGTGATGAATGAGGCTCAAACCACTCATTGAAACTACGAGGTTCAGGCTACTAAATGACATGTGTGGTGTACGCAAAAAGCTTTCCTGTGAGAAAGTTTATGCGGTGAGGTACAAGTTCACAAAGGTGTGGCAGTCACAAATTTGTCGAGGAGCTTGTGCACCTTACTTTTGTCATGAGGAAACTTTAGCCGACTCTTCTATATAGTGGAGTGTCCCATAAATCTTTACCGTTTTTACTGTCTCCCACAATGACTTTCTTTTGATAGACTTGCAATACCATTTAAGAGGTCAAAGCAGCCTCTACAAGTTAACACCTAAATATTTGCTCAAAATTAGTCCTACATAAAGTTCAAAGGCGAAGTTTAAGAACATCTAATGCCCAAAAAGTCAAAAATCGTATCTCCGTTCAAAAATTCCTCGGACCAGTGTCAAGCGTGTGATGCGACTGGCGCAACGGGGGCGGAGTCATAAAGGGGTAAAGGGGGCACTCGGCGGTGGGGGGGGGGGGGGAGGAGTGGGAGTCGTAAGAGAGGGCGGTCCTAATAAAGAAGTGTGGAATGTAGGAAATAAGCTTCTCAGTCGCAAACATTCTCTACTCTTCAAAAACAGCATTTTTCTCCCAGCAAAAAAGGTGTCGCAGATGGGGATCGAATCTGCTGGCCACAACTATGACCGAAGTTTCCAAAGACACTTTCAGAACCTCAAACACTAGGCATGTATGTGTGATAAGAATATTAAATGAACCAGGCCTAGAAATCTTGGTTTCGAAGCATCACTGAAGTCTCACACTCTCGACAAAAGCGCTCATCTCTACCAGCGATGACCATCGATAATTTTTGAAACATTTTTGCTATTCCTTTCAAGGGCCCATACAATTTACCCTACTTTGGAATGCTCTGCTACAATTGTGCAAAATCTGGTTATATTTCATAGCCTGTGAATTTTTTAAAATTTTATATATGGCAACAAAATATGAAAAAAGGGGGTCGTATCTGGGTCGCATCTAAATTTTTTTGCTGCTATGGGGGCCTGCTCGCTGCAGTTTTGGTGTGTTACGACGCCATCCTCCTACTTTCTTTCGTAAAAATTTCGGGCTGTTTCGTTGCGTCTTCAGTGAGTTAAGGAATTTTGAACTCAAAAACCCCAGTTTTTGGCTTCTAGGATCGCATCTGAATTTGTAAGAGTCGCATCTAGATGTTTTCGAGCTCACTGCTCCTAAATGGCTGAAACTTTTTACATGATAGTAAGCGCAATGCTACACAGCCTATTTATTACAGCCTCTCAGTCTTTCCCTGACCTTAGTTACGAATTTTCAAAATACCGTGCTCATGCACGTTTTTGACAACGTTTTGGAAGGCGCTAGAACAGTTTTTTTTTTGCAGGAAAATCTGTGCAATAGGTAGAAAGTAAGCTTTTCAGTCAAAAACAATTTTTGTGCTTCAAAGATATCGTTTTCCCCTGCAAAGAAATATTGTCGCGTACGGGGATAGAACACGGGACTGTCATTAAAGTCTAAAACGTTCTAATTAACCATAGTCTATATCTTTCGGTACTACTGGACCATGAAAGGATTATGCCGAACATTCATAAACAGCAGAAAAAGTTTATTAACCTTCACTAAAAAAGGAGTTATTATAAAATAGTCAATTATATGACTAAAGTGAACCGTTCCATAATGCTGAATTTTTGTTGGTTGTTATTTTATTTCATTTTCATGGGTAGAGTACAGTTTAAATGCCATTTAAATCAAAATTCATGTTCTGCTTTGTCAGATGAAGTCCTCTCCACTCATAATTTCCCAAGCACAATAAGCACAGCCAATCCGTAAATTTTTACTGCTTACCCAAACTACGTAGAATTATTTGTTTTTTGAGTGGTGAAGCATTACTTGCATTATGTCCCAATTTGTAAGTAGTTATCTTTCTCTGACCTATAATTTTGATTGAGGTCCATTGGCAGGCATCTTTTGAGATTGACATTCGTTTATGCAGGTTACCGCAAAAGGAAGTGGAGGAGGGGGAGGAGGGGGAGAAAGGGTAGATGGAGGTGGGGGTTGTACGGATAAGTACCTTAGGGGGGAGGTCGTAAATGAGGGTCCCGGATCGCATCAGCACGCTTGACCCTGCCTCGGACTCTCTACTAGCTCAGGTATGTACAGTCCATATCCTTTAAAATGCATCTGCTTATATCCACGGCTAGAAATGGAGAAAGAAAATAATTTTCATGTTTCTTCCAAAACTACAATAGGATGCTCTCACATAAGTACGCTTCCATAGTAAGGACCTACGGAAGTATAGTCATGATTTTCTGGCCTTTATCAGGCAATGGTTCATAAGGGGCATCAGATTCGGCGCAATACCTTAGAAAGGTGACTTTTTGTACTTTTGGCCTATTAATGTATGTATGTCTCTCGAGTTCTAGCCATGGAAAAAAGCAAACAATAAATACTTATAGAGAGTATATGCATGAGCAAGTAAAAAGCTCCTAAGACTTTTTAAGAAGGACGTAAGTTTTTCCTCGACTTTCTGGGCATTAAGATCTTTTTCAAATTCGGCTTCTAGCCCTATGTGAAACAAAGTCTAAGCAGATATTGAAAACAGTGTCCGGACAGGGTTGGGGTTTTGGGATTTCAGTGCCATGCGAAAGTGCCCCCCCCCCCTCAGGTACAGAATCGAGCAAGACGAGGTTATGACGTTCGACCTAGCGCAAGAAAAACGATCGGGAAGAGTGGAAGCTTACGCCTTGGGGCGGGTCCGACCTTTTTTGAATTCCTGCTATGCGGCAGAGTACGCATTATACTTGGAGAAATTCGATTTTTTTTCGATTATTCGAACATCGAATATATTCGAAAATTGAATTGGAAAAAAATTGAAATTTTTCGAGTATTCGACTTTCGAACGCCATTCGATTTCCGAATATTATTAGAAGAATTGAATGTCTATATATGTTAACATGGCCAAGCAAATAGTTTACAAGTACTTTGGGTTTTTGTAGTTCCCTTTTATACGACTACTATGCAATACATGAAGTACTCTTCATTTCCGGACAAAAACATGTGCATGCAAAAACTCTGAGTGAGGTTTCAAATATCAAAACATGAAACTTCCTCTTCGATAGCAGGTTATTCTGTCTTCGAAATACGTTTCTTCTGAGCTGCTGTAACTTTCACTGCTTTCTTGAGGACATCCATAGCGTGATAATTCATGCTGAGTCCATACTCTCGAGAAAATGACTAGAAAGACTAGAAAGTGAGAGAAGCGGTTGAAGATGTCACCCTGGCTTCCCTGGCTAACGAAAATTTGGTAGCAGTTACATGCTGCGACACGGGGAATGGCGCGTCACGATTACTGTACAGATTACCGCGCCAGGACCAAAACATGTACACTCCCCCTTGAGAGTTGTAGCTTGATAGAAACTTTTACAATGGCGTGCTGTGCTTTTTGGAGTTCGATCATTCGATGGTCGTCGAATGTTTCGAATATTCGATGACCATCGAATATCCGAATACCGATTAATATTCGAAAGTTGAAAATTTCGAATATTCGACTTTCGAATTTTACCCGAAATCTCAAATTTTCGAATATCCGACTTTTCGAATCATTCGCATTCGAATGATTTATTCGAATGATCATTTTGATTCGGTCCCTAGTACGCATGCTAAGATCTTAGGGTCCCACAGCGAATCGCGTCTCAGCCTTGGCGGGGACCGTCGAATTTCAAATTGCAAGGTCCTGGAAAGCGCATTTTCTCGCCGTTTTCGCGCCTTCTTCTGGATTTTCGGAGCGTTGCCGATAATCCCCGGTAAGCGGATTTTCTAAAAATCAAGTTTTTGCCCGGACATTGCCTTCAAGGTGCTATCTTGTAGTGCTTGCTTTGCTCTGTCGAATGCCACCGCGGAATATATCCTAAAAACAAGAAGAATATGTATTCGGGAGCGAAAAGGTAGAAAATCTGAGATATCGTGATATGATTCTCAAGCTTAGATTTCATAGGCGCATAAGTGATATGAGTTAGATTCGCCTTCACTCTTTTGCACAACAGTTGCTGAAGCACAACCACTTTAAGTGAATATGCAATAAACGAGTTTTGAGGAGTGGGCCAATTTAATGGTTTGGAACTTATCTGAATTAGAGAATCTATACACTCCCTGGCATTCAACAGTCCCTGTTCACTAGTTTTACAATCTCTTCGAGTCTCCTTCAAAAATCCCCATCCCTTCTGGCAGTTTCAACTTGTGGATCATAGCTTTCAAATGATGCAGAAAGTCCAGAAGAATGATGGCGCGAAGTTCAAGGTTTGCAATGAATTGCCTATATATGACTGCAAATCCTCAATGTCTCCTGTCGAATGTGATCTAGCAAACAAACTGCAAATTCTTTTTTATGTGCAGATCTATATATAACAGAGACTGTCAATGAGATGGATATGGAAAGACGATCGGTTACCACGGTCATAATATGGAATCAAGCCGTGAGACTAAAAATAGAACACGACTACAACAAAGTAGGGTACCACAAAATCAGGGAAAATATTGAGGAAATCTCATAGTTGATACCAGCAGAAAATTTCAGTACCGGGAAAAATGAACCTTAAGGGAAAAGCGCATACTTGAATTATGTAAATCTCTCAATTAAACTACCACGGCAGTCCTAGAGATAGCATTCAGGATGAGCAGCCGCGGAATGAGGAAGCCTTGATAACAAACGATTGCCCTTGATTTAGAGTAGAACTACTACTTTAGTTAAATGAGGAACCTCCAAAACATCAAAGTATAAATTTGCAAATGAAAAATCTCACAACAAATTGATTGTGCAATGGTAGAGGCAAAGTAATGTACAGTTTAGCTCATTTTTAATGCAGATTTCAGAAGGTGTAGAACCTGGAAATAAAAGAGCAATATTAAGATCAACCACGATTGCTTGCGTGGCAAGAGGCGAATGGATCGCATGAATGAAAAGATGTGCACGAGAGAATCAAAAGCAACCGGTCAGAGGGATATAAATTTGCAATACATGTGATAAGTTCTCAATAGATTGGTACAGAAAGTCAGTCTCCTTCACCAAGCTTACTACGCTTTTCAGCAGGAGGATCGGCGTCTTCCTTCTCCTCGTTTTTTTCCAGAGATACTGCATCCGCAACAACCTTATTCACTCCGATAGAGCCAGGCAACTGCGGCCGTGGCTGAGATGAGGATACTGTAGGTAGAGCCACTCCGATTGGAGAGAAACCTAAGGAAAGCAACTATCTGTACAAAGGAGCAAAATTTAGCTGGTGATCTTTGCGTTGAAACTGCACGACAACATCCCCCATCCACGTCATTATTTTGATAAGGAGTAGAGATATTGTATGTGCCTCGATACTACAGTTCAAATCTTGGTATTTTGCGAGAAAGAACGAGATTCTACACCACGAAACGAGTAATGGTTAATCGCAAGAATCACGGGAACGCATGTCTGCAAAAAAGCTGAGAAGTTGAGAATGGAGCAAAAATGAAAGCTTTCGAAGAATGGCCGATGACAAACGCTCACCTTCTTCAAAAGAATTACGTGACACCTGGGACAGCGTGGTTGGAGGCGAAAGCTCCCTGAACTCGCGAGCGTTCTCCATTCTAGCACGCGCTTGCTGGAAAATAGGATCGATCGGCCGAGAGGAATAGTCCACCTATAAGGGGGATCTTAAATTGTGGAGGATCGCTCAAGTGAGCGGAGACAGAGGAGTTTCCAAAGCTGAATTCACTTACAGCCCGACCATTTGCATCCAATCCCACAGGCAGCCCATTAGTATTGAGCGTAGATTTGATGTTACTCATGCAGTTACTCAGATACGTCATCATCAAAATAGGAGCCAGCTGTAAATCCGTACGTCTGTACCACTGTGGAAATTGCTAAAAGGTTACACTAACTGCTGGCTTGTCATCCATCTCTTTTCGGTCAACCCCTTGCACAGGAGCAGTGGAAACGCTCTTTTCGGGAGGCACTAAATATGTATTTGCGTACATTAATAAACTATAGATTTAGAAAGATATTTCGCACAAATTCACATTGATGAACTTTAGATTTGGAAAGAGATTTCGCACAAATTCCTGATTGGACGATAATAGTATAAAGATTAAAGGTTACATTCACTACGTACTAGTAAACAGAATTTTGACTACTTGAAGAACAACATACGCCTTGCTCCCTCGTCTGATGATATTGTAGTGCTGGGGAAGTCACATTTCGCAATACCGATGGGATTGGGAGCACTTAAACGTTCGAGAGATTTTATGTATATACGAAACTCCCATGATTTCATGACAACTGAGTCGTTACGTACCTTCTCTTACGGCTTGCATTGAATGCCTCCGTGAAATGTTGCTCGGAAACTTGAAACAGTGTTTGGGAAACGGGAACAACATCATCCGCTGTCAAAGCGGGCGTTGCTGGCGCACTGTTCTGAAAAAAAGGAACATGGGTAGACCGATACAGAAAACGAAGCATGATAGAGTGCACAACTCAATACAATGACAACTGCCTATATCTCACATGCTGAGTGCATAAAGCAACACATGTTCTCAAAGCAGCTTTTATACTAATCAACATCACACGTTGGCCTCTGCACCGTACATCAGCTTTCGCTTCGATATCACACATTTTGAGGTAAGTAGGCTTAATGTTTGAGAAAACATGATAAGAAGCACTGTTCCATGAAAGAATTATACTGGAACAACATCACCGTTTCCAAACGCATGCTTCTAGCTAAGAGTGGATGGGTGGCTAAGCTGGGGCGTCACATTAGACTCTAAGGTCTGATCAAGTTATAACATGCATGGCTAGCATTATCGAATATGCTTCAGAACTTGAGCAACTACGAGTTGCTAGAGCCAGAGTTTCAGATTGCTATAAGAAAACATATTGCGATCAGGACGACGACATTGAAGGCTAAAGACATATCGTTTATTCGTTGACCGTAACGACTGCTGACCGCGCGGCGACCGCTGCGCGTGCATGATGTTTTCGTAGAAAAGATGAATAGAAAGAAAACAGAGGATTCTTCTCATCTTTATAATGTAGAAAAGAAACAAAGAATTCTTCTCATATTAAGCCACCGTCCGACTTGCCACTTTTTCGCAAGTTTAGAAGGCACGCGTCGCAGTCGCCACGCGGTCGGCAGTCCGTACGGTCAACGAATGAACGATACATCAGCCTACATGTGAAGACAGCCCTGCTCAAAACATCTACCATCAAAATGTTCTACATAACCGGTTTATACTGCCACTGCCAGCCGAGATTTCGGAAAAGATTAAGTATCGTAGACTTGCAACAGTCTCTTCTCTCGAATATGGCTTACCCAAATTTCGCACCTACACTCTATGTTAGAACGACAAAAACTCAACAGTAACAAAATAAGTCATACCTGCGGTGTTACCCGCGCTCCAACACTGGCTGATGACGACTGCTCACGCGCACTCTGAGGACGAGTTTCTAATGTACTGTGTGAACTATCTCGCTTATCAAGTGAGCACTGATCACTCGATCCAGGCGGAGATGTTTGAGCCTGAAGTAAAAAATTCTTGAAGAAGGAGAAAAAGCATGTCTAATGAATTGCTGCGATATATGTATTGAATATACAAGAATATCAAAGTTGGAAAATTAGCACTGAGTTCACCAACCTGCTGATGTACCAGCGTAGAGGGATTGGAATCGATGATACTAGTAGAAGCGTCAGCCAATGTTCTCGGAGGACTCGGGTCAACTGGAGGAGGTCGTGGAGAAAATGCGGCATCTTGGCTTCCCCCACCAACAGCAACAGGTTTTAGAACCTGCAAGCTTGTTTTGATCTTCAAAATGTGGTAAACACGCGATAAAAAAGAACCTCTTGAGACGTGGGCCGAATATAGGGATGGAGTCCGGTATTCCCTTGATGCAAGACCTGAGCATCCATTTCAGATTTCTCGTTTTGCGCTAAAATAAAACAAAGAACGTTACCGAAAAGATGTTTGCCGAGTTTTGTAAACAATTTCACACACGTAAAGAATTTGTTAGTAACACATGAAAATCCGAACAAAGTTGGCTATACAAACTACCCAAAACCGCGATACAAGAGACAAATGACGTGTTCACTTTCGTAAAATCATTGACCAACAGATATAGTGAAGCGACGTCCAGTAACTCACAAATCATACCGCGGGATGTAATTCTAATTTCAAAAAGAAATATCTCACAGCTAGCGACAGCCGAGAGAGCTTGTTGAAGGTAGTAAGCTTGTTGTTCAGCAGCAGATGAGTGAGGTGGAATCTGTTTGTGCGCATTCATGGACGAAGCTGTAGAACTCGAAGGGGCTGCAGCATGCGACGGTGTATTCCCACTTGAGAACAATGGTGGGCGAATGAGCTTGAAAATCATCTTTTGCAAACATTTTCACTGACAACGCAATCACCAGAAGTACATAATCAAATACACAATGAAATGTAAGCCTGAAGACTGAAAGAAAGCTGTGTTATATAAGATCAAAACACTTGAGTACAAACTCTTTTCAGAAGCTAGACTGCGCAGTACTCCAATCAGAATCACAGCGTGAAAATCTTCATCCTCTAGACCATAAAACTTATAGCAATTTAGACTATACGAACCTGTCCAACAGGGACTGCAGGTGAAACAGAGATGGGAACTTGACTGGCCAATTGCAGAAGATCAGTATGCAAAGGTAAAATCGAACTGCCATAAGTAGGATGCGGCCGATCTGGCAAGCGAACGGACGCTGCAGCTGCTAGTAGCTGCGCCTGCTGCGCGAGGTGATGCGATTGCGCTTGCCTAAACGTAAAGAGCGGCAGAATTACATAGCATGTGCAATCGTTACCGAAGCAGTGCTTGAGCTTGCGGTCCAGCAATTCCAAGCTGATTGATATATTGCTCCATAGTTCTCGGTCCAACTTGCGTCTCGGCAGGAAGCTGTAAGTTACTTCATGATCACATCAGCAACAACATGCAAAAAATGCAACAAGGATGAAAGTGGAAAATTATGATAAGAGTTTTTTGGAAGTGAAGAAATTATCAAAGAACTACAAGAAGAACCTGACTACGTTTTCCGATTACGAAATCTCCAAAACTGATCCGAGCGTAGTGGTAAACTTCAATGCCGCATCTTCTTTCGTTACTTGAGAAAAAAAAACTTAGATAAGCGATAAGATCACTCACAATGCCAACACCAGGCACCTGAGGAACTTGCGGCAGACTGACTTGTGCAGATTGTGCTACAGATGGGGATGCTGAAGACACCACCACATGTGCTAGTTTCTCTTGGTACAGCTGTGTAGCTGCTAAAGAACGAGAATGTTGCACTCCCAGGTTGAAGAAAAACCTGGAATGGCAGAGCATTACAAAGACCAACTTTCAATGAATTCATCAAAATGTGGATCTATGACAGCAATGCTAATATATGTGTGACGCTGACGGTACTGATGAATATAGAATGTCCCAGAAGCATGTGTACACCGTTTGATCGCAAATATCTCTCTTCCCTGGAAGTCTTTTGCCTTCCTTCAGGTACTTTTTCGCAAAGCTGGCTTTAACTTAGATCTACAGTATGGAGCAAATCACCGCTTGCTTTTTATTATTGTAGGATTACGGTACCAACTTTTAGTTTACAGCATCGTTGTGGAATAATCGTGTTCCTAAAAGTTTTCAAAAAAATATGAAAAGTGGTGTACTAAGGTTTTCACGCGCGCTATTATCGTAACTGAACTTTTTAAGAGTTCTGAAGCTTTGAGGTGTACTAATCACGATTTTAGGGGCACTTCAAAAAGACTATTGAGGTTGACCTGACCTAACTTATGAAGGAGGCGTAGCGGTAAAGTGCAAACTTCATACTCAGTTTTGCCAGCACGGTATTAGCCGAGTATAAGAGTTTTCAGGTTGTTTGGTTTGTTTCAAAGGCGAAATAGGGCCGATAATAGAAAACCCTTCTTCAAGTTGCTACCGTAATCCTAGAGTAAGAAGAGAGATAGGTGAACCGCTGCTTACTGGAAATCTAAGTTGAATCAAGCTCCATGAAATGGTACCTGAAGGTAGGGAAAAGACTTTTTGAAAACAGAGATCTTAACGATCAAACAGTGTATATGTGCTTTTGAGACAACCTGTATATATATCTTTCCAGGGCATGAGGTATTCTCTATAGACCTTTAGCCGTCAACAGCTGATCGAGGTGCAAATTCTAGGAGTAAGAAGAGTTATAAGACAGAAAGAATCTCACCGAAGAGTGGTGACATCAGCAAGAGGTAAATCGAATCCATTCACATCCCTGCTAGGAGCAACATCAAGATTGACAAGGCGATACGTTGCCAGATCAAAATGTGGTACATTCATGACTGGCGAAACTACTGGCCACGGGAGTGAAGCCAACGTAAGATCAGGCACAGCTCCGCTGACACCGTTACTTGTCGCAGCCTGAATAACATACTGAAGTGAAATGAAGGAAGTTTATCGTAAGTACTTTGCTTTCGACCACCACTGCAGATGCATTTTGTACGGGAAGAGTCGGTTGTTGTTGGGATACGGAAGCTAACGCATTATTCAGTTGTGATGATAAACCTGAAGATAAGTGAAATTTCTGGAAGAGTCAATTCTAGACGTAGAATTTGCAAGCACTTTTATTCCTGACACGAGTATCAGTTCAAATTTTCGCAGTACATATTAAACCCGATTTCAGAACGATAGTGCATAGACTTCAAATGTCATTTAAATGTCGAAACGGTTCAACTGTGTAAGTGGCACAATAAAGGTGAAAAGCCCAAGAACAACACCTACTCGTATTAGTGAGGGCGGCTAGCTGTGCCTGACTGAACGCATTTTGTCCCAGTACTCCAGATAAAGCGGCCAACTGCTGAAAACCACACTGTGATGAGGAAAAATGCGTATGGTAAAACTCAATCAAAGAAATAACTTATTTCTAAAAAGGTTCGATGCACTCAAATATCCACAAAAAAAATCTGCTCATGCTAAATTACTTCCAAGACAATTCTCGGATAGAAAGATTTATAGAAAGTCGAACTTTCCAATTCTCGGATTCATTCAAGATACGGCTCACCTACTCTAGAAAAACACAATACCGTCCAAATGTCTACATGGATGTCTTTCGTGGGTCTACCAACAAAATTCTATAGAGTAGATATCGTACTTAGAACTAGCAAGTCACAAAGTACTCGTAGAATGGAACTAACGACAAAACCAATGAAGGAAAATAAGATAAAAGCTGACCTGAGCGGACAGGCTACCAAGAATATTTGCCGCTCCGCCCTGGCCTGGCACGCTGTTCATGCTTGTTGCCTTTCCTGGCACGATCTAGTGCGTTTCGTTGCCTCCTCTGCCTGCAAAACCTAATGGATATGATGATCCACGAGCGAAAAAACGCCGACTAAATGTCGATTATTTTGAAAACCAAAGCTATTACAATGTAAACGCTACATATAAAAACAGATACGGAGTAAAGCGGATATCTAAGCTAGAGAGATCAAGACACGAGGTATACCATGCCAAACTACGTATCCAGGAAATAATTAGTTTGCAAGGTTTTTTGTAATAGATGCAAGCCTAAGGAAAGCGGATGTAGTCTAAAAATTCTAACTAGATCGACTACATCGGAGGTGTAGTACTAGGAGACTTCATCAGATTCACAGCAGTCCAGAACAAGAGCAGTGACATCATGAACGAATCAATCATTGTTCCCAGGTGCAACACCAAATTACCCGTACTACTGGTTTCTAATGCGGCGATTTCTGATTAATAAGACAAAATTCGTGTGAGACCGCCATCTGACTCATTGTTATCCGAGCTGGAAACTGATGATCGCTATTTTTTCAGTCAGGTATGTTGCAGTAGTTTTCGGAAGCATTCGATTATGCAACCGTAAATAGCCCGCAATACTATGCGAATTGAATGTTAACATCAGATAAATAGTTCTTCGCTAAGACGTAAGACATAACACCGATAATGCCGATGAATCTAAAAGACCCAGGACGAAAAAATCTGAGTGGATGCGTTGAAGCATGCTACTCTCAGTGTATCTCAATATATTCGACAATGTAGAGTTTGTTATGGTAGGTCCATGAAAACTTTGTTTTTGAAGTGAGGATCAATCCTAACGCCACACTTAAAAACAGATTCCAGAAGCTGATGGATAGAGGCTATGCGGCAAAATCTTTAATTACACTCGTAATGTGAGGATGGCAATGAAGAGTTGGATAGCTGTTCGTAGCATGAAAGGTGTATGCAGGGAGTGATAAACAAAAATGATGGTTTTAGGTTTTAGAACTACGAGAATAAGAAAAACAAACAAGAAATAAAGATATAGAATCGAAGCAATTGCATGCAATAGATCTTTGTGCGGTAAAAAGGTGATCTATGTAACAAGATGAGACAACAACACGCTGGCGCTCGATATTTCCGCGAGAATAATCGCGAAAACATCGTCACACGGATACGGCGGCGCAGTGACGCCGTCTGCTTCTAAGGCAACGAGGAATTTATGGAAATCCACTTCGGTGATGAGAAACTAAAGCAATCAACTGTTGGGTGTCGACACATAAATGATGACGAATTGCTGGAAAAAATCCTTGTTGGGGAGAAATGATGAGTATACGGAGACTCAAGAAACGACAAACATTGCAAAAGTTATTGCAATTTGTCCAGCATACATATAAATACTGCGGTCAGGAGTGGCAATACTGCTCGCATGCGAACAAACTTTATGCTTAATCGATATTGCGATGTGACGTTTCTCGTTGGCTCGGTTGTGAAGAAAGAAGCGTGGATGCAAAACACGCGCTACCCCAGGTGGTACTAACACACCTACATTTGGCAAAACCATGCAAATCGCTTTTGAAACTAAACAACAGCTATATTCCGTCCCTCCGAACTGAGTGTTTGATGCGATACCGTCTTGATTAGATGTTGTGCATCAAAATCCTAAAAACTGATGACATGGGAAACCCTTACAGCTACTGGTTTAGAACCTGATCACCCGTCCTAGTAACCTCTTTGAATGTCCACCGTGGTGCAGCACCGCAGACGGTGCACAAAAGTATGTCCAGATCGACGGCGCGACATCAAAAGGCGCATTACGCGAGCGCGGTTCGCACGCGCTTTAGGCACCCGCCATACTTGATTCGCTTGAACCACTTGATCCGCTTGATCCGCTTCGTCATTGGTCGATTCAGTGAATTGAGCAATAGCGAAGCAGTTGTCCGTTTGATCCGCTTAATCCACTTCATCCAATTTACTATTGGTCAGTTCACTGAATTGACCAATGATGAAGCGGATCAAGCGGATCAAGTGGATTAAGCGGACCAAGTATGGCGGGTGCCTTAGCAGTCCTAGGTAGGCTCCAGATTAACCGATTGCCTGCTTCAGCAGGACCTCTGCATCTAATAAGTCGGTGTCATTTGGCGTCATGTGGACGGAAATCCAAGTGGCGTCTGCGATGCTCGCAACAATCGTAGATTTGAAGAGATGATAAAAAAGGCTCGCAATGAAAGAATGATAAGAAGGTTTTACCAGCGAAAAATTTTTGTTGTGGGGAAATCGCGCATCCCGGCTTGATTTCTCTACAAAGTGACGTCACAAGACAGTAAAGCGCCGCGTCCCGATGAAGTAGGCGATCGGCAGTCTGGCGCCTACCTTACTGCTTAAAGGCAGCGTCCAGGCAGATCTGAACCTATGGGGCTTTTACGTGGAAAGTACTTTTGGGGCCCTAACTAAGGCACTACCCAAGCGGCAGCTCATGTAGTGCTCTAATGGCTGAGATATTCCCCTCGAAACTGGCCCCCGCGGACGTATTCGCATGGATTCATGGCAGTTTCGCGCCAGGATCCACGCTTTGCGCCATGAATCCATGCGAAACACGGTCGCGGGGGCCAGTTTCGAGGGGAATATCTCAGCCATTAGAGCACTACATGAGCTGCCGCTTGGGCAGTGCCTAAGTTAGGGCCCCAAAAGTACTTTCCACGTAAAAGCCCCATAGGTCCAGATCTGCCTGGACGCTGCCTTTAAAGGCAGTGGATCAGCAGAATGGACCTTTCTCGGATTTTGGTGGATTTTGGTAGTAGACTCCCCAAGTACACTGTAGCCTGAACCCCATTTGCCAGTTCATGCGGTAATCCTGTAAACTGCGCTTTAAAACTCCACCAGTCCCGCCCACTCAATGGAAAGGGGCGGGGCTGGTGGAGATTTGAAGCGCATTTTCAAGACTTAGCGCATGGATTGGCAGATGGGGTTTGGGCTACAGTGTATGTGGGGGGTCTACTGCCTAAATCCACCAAAATCCGAGAGGGGTCCATTCTGCTGATCCACTGCCTTTGAAGGCAGCGTCCGGGCAGATATGAAAATGTAGAGTTCAAGGGCGCCCGTCCTGGTAAGGCTCTTGCCCAAATGGCAATGCACCAATTTGCTTCTGAAGCGAGAAATCCGCGACTTCAGCGACTCCATCGTAGCGATTCTAATCGCTGGGACATCGAATGCCTCGACGTCCAATCGCTTTGGGACTAACTGCATGTTGTTCATTCTGGGCATACCTTTCACACTCGTAGCTCACATGTCACGCCCGAATGAACGCAAATGTTATCGAGTTCTTGAATTTGTCTAGTACCTCTCACTCCCTTTTCATACGCTAATCTCACGACACTAATTAGGCTCATAGACGCGTCCACCACAGCATCGTCCATTCCATTGCAGCTAGCCTTGGTTTGCATCTCTGAATGGGGCACGATGGCTGTGATGACTTTACCACTCTTATGTTAAAGTCCAGGATATGGTGGCTGACCAGTCTTATGGAAAGCCGGTAGTTGGAGTTTGGTGGCTCCTGTGTGTTACAGTACACGTAAGCTTATAAAAGCATCATTGAGACATCAACATACCCTCTCGGGTAGTGGTAGAACGCTCCTCTTGATAGGCGGAGCATGCTTAAGTCAAGCATATCAACGCAAACATATCAATGGAGACCCCGAGTTGGTGACCTCAAGATACATAGGAAGTAAGCTTAGGAGCTATGATAAGGTTGTGAGAGGTGCCACATTATCCACAATGGCTATGTAGCAACATGCAACAACATGTTGCTCAAAGATGACAGCTGCTTGCTGGCGACAACTGTTGCAATTTGCCGATACATTTACCACACGTACAAAAGGCAGAGATGCAAACCATGGGTGGCAGCAGTCGTAAAGTAAAGTAGTAGCAGTGAAGCAACAGACAAGTACACAGTCGAAAACCTCCAAGTAGTCAAGAAATTCTGAAAAGGAAAAAGGAAAAAATGTACAAAGAGACAAGAAGAAGAAACACTTACGTCCAATGCCAAGGCCATTTAGTAACATCCAGAGTCTAATTGGATAAGTGGAAAGGATAAGAGAAAGAAGTGGATAACTGAAAAAGTGGATAAGCAATACAGAGTGTGAGTGGATACAAGTGAGCGGCGGAAGCGCAGGTCATGTGCAGGGCCAAGCAAGTGGTGTGGCACACGATCGCTGGTTACGACCTCCCCCCCCTCCCCTGATTGCTGTCTCAGTAAGACCCCCTTGAACCTTATACCTAAGATAGCATTACTTAAAGACCCTGTCACTTAAAGGGCAACTTATACATAATTAGCATGTCAATTAGCCCCTCTCTTATCGTCGCATGTGTCCCGCTTAAGCAGGGTCTGCTTTCCTTGTCAGATGTCTCCATGTCATCCTATCTGAGGCAAGATCTTCGGTTATACCAAGTTCTCGCAAGTCGGCCTTGATTCTGTCCATCCACCTCATCTTGGGTCTACCTCTGGACCTTTTGCCTGGTGCCTCCACAGCCAGGACCAACTTCTCAGATAATCGCCGGGGGCAGGCGGTCCGCAAACTCGCGCTTTTCTGCAGGCGGTCAGCAGAATTTTGGGGCGTGGCCAAACCTTCAGCGGGCGGCACTTCCTTTACGGTCGCATATTCTGCCAGAGGGCAGCAATACAGCATTTTTTGCAAGCGCTCGGCAAATAATTTCTTTCAGCGAGCGCTGGCCAAACTTTCAGCAAGCGCTCGGACTCTTTTAAGGCATTTTCGGGCGTACGTCGAGCGCAGGTAAGACTCTGTGTGGCAGAGGTGTCACCGTTGGTTTAATTACTCAAGTTTGAGGTACTTTCTCTCAGCGGAAAGTACCTGGGGGTTGCGCGGTCCTCCACAAAGGACCGTGCGGCCCTCGAAATTTTTGCATATTTTCGGGGAAAGTCCGCGAGAATGCGGCCACTGCGCCGCAGCTAATCCATAAAGAAACCGCGATTGTTACTCAAGCATTCGTCTTTGATTTCGCCAACTTTCTTCCAAATTTCTGCAAGCGGGCCGCAAAAAATCAACGGACTATTTTTCCGGTGCGCGCTTGCTCAAAATTCGTATGGCCGCCTGCCCCCGGCGGTTATCTGAGTTGGTGATGTGGCTTTCATCCCTTCTGCGCACATGCCCATACCATCGTAACCTCTTTTCCTGCATTTCCTGGGCAATTGGAGCTACTTTCATTCGCGCTCAAATAGTGTCATTGCAGATGTGATCCTTCAGTGTGACTCCTAAGGTCCATCGTAGCATCCTTGTTGCCATGACACTGAGCTTGCGCTCCTTGTTCCGCGTACATGACCAGCACTCACTGCCACACAGTGCTGCTGGGCGGATAACGGTCCGGTACAGTTGGGACTTGAGTTGCACTGGCATTCGTCTGTCGCACAGAACTCCTGTTAAGGCTCTCCATTCCATCCACGCTGTGTTCATCCTGCCTGCGACCTCCTCTTGTAAGCATCCCTCCGCTGAGATGTGACTGCCTAGGTATCTGTATGACGTTGTCTTCTTTAGCTCTTCACCATCGATGCTTATGGTACCTGGAGTTTGTTTCCCCACTTCCATATATTCTGTCTTCCTGGTGTTGAGCTTCAGGCCATACAACTCCAGTCTGTTTTTCCAGTTTTGCACCTCGTCTTGTAGCTCTTTTCTGGTACTTGCTATCAAGACCACATCGTCTGCGTAGAGAAGTGTCCAAGGGGGTTCGCGTCTGAGCGGTTCCATTACGGCGTTCATCACCGTGATGAAGAGCAAGGGAGAGAGAACTGAACCTTGGTGTACTCCAACCTTGATTTCGAATTCTTTCGATTGCCCTGCAGCTGTTTGCACGTGGCTTGACGCGTTGTGGTAGATCAACTTTATCGACTGAACGTACTCCTGTGGCACCCTGTGTTTCCGTAAGGCCCACCATGGGGCACCCTATCGAAGGCTTGTTCTAGGTCCAGGAAGGCTGCATGCAATTCCTTCTGCTTCTCTCTGTATTTCTCCATCACTATCCGAGCGGAATGGATTGCGTCAGTCGTACCTACTTCTTTCACGAATCCGCACTGATTCGGTGACAACTCTATGATATCTCGAAGGCGTGTTTCGATTACTCTTTCGAAGATTTCTACAGTGTGGCTCATCAGTCGGATTGGTCGATAGGATGCGCAGTCTGCTATATCTCCTTTGTTCTTCCATATCGGGATGGTTGTGCTGGTGTACCAGTCGCGAGGCATATTGCTCCTTATGATTTGAATGAGGAGACTCGTTAGCCATGCGGCTCCGGATTGTCCACATATTTTCTAGAACTCGCTTGGTATGTCGTCTGGACCAGTCGCTTTGCCATTCTTTATTCTTCTTATGGCCAGCCATACTTCCTCTTCCGTGACTGCTGGTATTGGTCCCTCTATGGGGCTGGCTCCACGGATCTCCCTCATAGAGGGATCACAGCCGGTTAGTCGCGAGGCTACGTGGGGCGTCCCCAGGTGGCGGATAGGGGGATAATCGCCGACCAAAAGCGACCCCGCGCCTGCTCTGATAAGCAAGCGGAGCCGGGGGACGGACTCCCTGCCTCCACTAAAAGCTTGCGTCCTAATTTCCCGGGTAGGTGTGTGGGGAGGCGAGTTCGGAGTCGCCTCCGACAAA